CACTCTTCAAGTTGTGCAGCCATTCTCACCCTCCTTTTCTAAATTGTTGCTCTCCCATTAACGTAAACTCACTGTCACCTAAGTTTCCTATCTGATCTTTCGAGTTGCTATAGGGTTGCTATGAGTTGGAATTGACTAGATGGCAATGGGTTCTGGCTTTTTATCGTCCATTTGATCCCATACTGATAGTTCTTTAAAAGAGCACAATGCTCAAGACAGACATTCCTTACTAAAGAAGCTAAATTTTTGTTTGGTTTAAAGAAGACTTCAGCAAAGGAGAATGAAGAAAACCAAAGACACAAGGAAAATACTAGCCCAAAGGACTAAAGGACCAAATGAACCACAGACTCCACCAGCCTGAGACCAGAAGAACTAGATGGTGTCCGGCTACCACCAATGACTGCCCTGACAGGGAACACAACGGAGAGTCCTGTGCTGAGCAGGAGAAAAATGTAGAACAGAATTCAAATTCATGTAAAAAGACCAGACTCCATGGTCTGACAGAGACTGGAGGAACCCCTGAAACCATGGCCCCCAGACTCTCTGTTAACCCAAAACTGAAACCATTGCCAAAGCCCACTTTTCAAAGATTAGGCAGGACTATAAAACAAAAATAATACACTTGAGGAACGTGCTTCTTAGTTCAATCACATATGTGAGACCAAATGGGCAGTTCCTGTCCAAAAGCAGGATGAGAAGGCAAGAAGGGACAGGAATGGGATGAATGGACACAGGGAACCGGGGATGGAAAGGGGGAGGGTGCTGTCACATTGTGGGGATTACAACCAATGTCACAAAACAATATATGTATAAATTTTTGAATGAGAAATTAACTTTAGCTGTAACATTTCATCTAAAGCACAGTAAAAAAAAGTTAATTAAAGTTAAATAAAACCTTGAAAAGAAAAGACTACAGCCTTCAGGAAGAATGAAAGAAGACTTCAAGGGATATTTTTGGTTTAAGGTTTAAAGATTACCTCAGGGCAACAGTTTTGGGGATTCATCCAGCCCCCATGGTTCCAGAAAGTCAATTCCATGAAAATTTGAAATGCTCTTCTGCATTTTCCACCCTTTTGATCAGGATTCTTCTATAGAATCTTTTATTTATCCCTGTATTGTTGATAAGGAAACTCAGGCACAGAAAGTTAAGTAACCTGCTCAGGGTCACCCATCCAGTAAGAGGTAGGGCTTGGAAGAGAGTCCCTAGAGCATGTCTTGGTCTGACAACTCTCCATTCCAGGCCACAATAAACTACCTTTTCTCTGAAGGAATATGAGTTGGTTGGTCTCTGTGGAAACTTCAAAAATTCTGATTCAGGCACATGAAATGAATAGAACCTGAACTGGCACAGTAGGGGGACTAACTAGTGTGAGCCCATAGAATATTCATAGAACCTGGAGGACCTGACCTGGCTAGAAGGACTGAGAAAAAAGGAGAGGCAAGTAGAGCAAGATCTCACAGAGATATCTGAATACCACCGTTGAAATGGAACCAGACTGCTTGCTCCCCTTTTCCAACTATGTAACCACAGGCTACTGTCCAATGTTTGGATTGGATGTTTTTAGGATAGGGTTCACTCGCTGAGCCAATCAGCTGTGGCTAGGAGTCATGTGATTCCAAAAGTAGTGCTTACACAGCAGGCAGGGCAGGTTCCCTTAGAAATGAATGAAGGTAGAACAAGTTGTGATTGACTGTCTAGTTGAGGTCAGAAGCAGCCATTGAATAAGTTAAGGCAAACTAGCACTGTGCCAGGTACATAGCAGTTGCTCAATTAAATATTGTTGGATGAATAATGAATTGGAGTTTTAGTACCACTGTAAAATTAATTCATTTTCCCAACATTCAATTCATTTAAAATTATTCTATGTTTCAGTAGTTCAACTTTCTCCTACTATACCCACAAGGAGTCCCTGGGTGGTGCAGTTAACACACTCAGCTGCTAACCGAAGCGTTGGAAGTTTGAGTCCACCCAGAGGCATCTCAGAAGAAAGACCTGGCAATCTACTTTCAGAAAGCCAGCCATTGAAAACCCTATGGAGCACAACTCTACTTTGATACATATTAGGTTGCCATGAGTCAGAATTGATTTTGAGGCAACTGGCAATACTCACAATGGGTGCTTTCTTTTGAGACTCTCAAAGAAAGCCTAGCACTTAAGGGTGTAGGCTCTGTAGGCAGGCTGCCTGGGTTTGAGCTCCGGATTAACTCCTTCCTGTCTGAGTGACCTTGGGCAAGTTACTTATCTTCTGAGTCTTGCTTTCTCATCTATAAAATGGGGATAATAATCATACATGCCTCAGAGGGTTGTTGTAAAGATCAACAAGGGCAATGTACATGATGCACACACCAGAGCGCCTGACACACACTCAATTCTGTCTTTTCAAGACCTTTTTTGGTAGCCATTTAGAGCTTATTAACTCAATGTGTGCTTGATGTGAAATAGTTCCTAGTTGTTTTTTTTTAATAGGTGTCCTTGCATTATCTCCTAACTCTCTCTTTTATCAACAATTAAAAAAAAAGAAGTTTTTCCTCTTCTTCTACTTCTGTGTGAGCTTCCATTCAATCATCGTTCTCATACTTCCTGCCGGCTGCCATCACGGGTCATCTTTGTGTTTCTCTTCTCTTCTGTTGTCTAATTTCTATGGTATTCATGTATTCATACTAGACCAGAGGTTCTCATCCCTGGCTGCTGGGGAGATTTTAAAAACTAGCCAGGCAGAATGAAGAAAACCAAAGACACAAGGGAAAGATTAGTCCAAAGGACTAGTGGACCACGACTACCACAGCATCCGCCAGACTGAGTCCAGCACAACTAGATGGTGCCCAGCTACCACCACTGACTGCTCTGACAGGGATCACAATAGAGGGTCCCAGATAGGGCTAGAGAAAAATGTACAACAAAATTGTAACTCAAAAAAAAAGACCAGACTCACTGGTTCTGACAGAGACTGGAGAAACCCCAAGAGCATGGCCCCCGGACATCCTTATAGCTCTGTAATGAAGTCACTCCTGAGGTTCACCCTTCAGCCAAAGATTAGACAGGCCCATAAAACAAAATGAGACTAAAGGGGCACACCAGCTCAGTGGCAAGGACGAGAAGGCAGCAGGGGACAGAAAAACTGGTAAAGGGGAACCCAAGCTCAAGAAGGAAAGAGTGTTGACAGGTTGTGGGGTTGTTAACCAATGTCACAAAACAATATGTGTATTAATTGTTTAATGAGAAACTAGTTTTCTCTGTAAACCTTCATCTAAAGTACAATTTTAAAAAAAGTAAATAAACATTAGGACACAGAGGATGACTTAAAAAAAAAACTACCCAGGCCTGAGGCCCACCTCCAGTAGGTCCCTGGGTGGGGCAAATGGTTTGCTCTCAGCTATTAACCTAAAGGTTGGTGGTTCAAATCAACTCAACAGCACCACAGAAGAAAGGCCTGGCAATCTGCTTCTGTAAAGATTACAGCCAAGAAAACCCTATGGAGCAGTTCTACTCTGTAACACATGAGGCCACCATAAGTCAGAATCTACTGTACATGGCTCCAATTGGGTCCAATTGGTCTGGGGTGGAGCCAGTTGACTTTTAGGTACAGCCCGAATTGAGAATCATTCATTCAGTAAATATTTATTGGGCACCTTCTATGTGCCAGGCACTGCTCTAGGTATTTGGGATATATTAGTGAAGGCTGTTTTATTTATTTAGTGCTGCTATAACAGAAATACCGCAAGTGGATGGCTTTAACAAAGAGAAATTTATCCTCTTACAGTCTAGGAGGCTAAAAGTCCAAGTTCAGAGTGCCACCTCCAGGGTAGGGTTTTCTCTCTCTGTTGGCTCTGGGGTCAAGGTCTTTGTCATCAATCTTCTCCTGGTCTAGGAGTTTCTTGGCACAGGAACCCAGGTCCAAAGGACGAGCTCTGCTCCTGGCGCTTCCTTCTTGGTAGTATGAGTTCTCTCTCCTCTTTGTTCAGTTCTCTCTTTTATATCACAAAAGAGATCAGCTCAAGATACAACCTAATCCTGTAGATTGAGTCCTGCCTCATTAACATAACTGCCTCTGTTCCTGCCTTATTAACATCATAACCCTCACTGCCATCAAGCTGATTCTGACTCATAGTGACCCTATGAGACAGAGTAGAACTGTCTCATAAGGTTCCCAAGGAGTGGTTGGTGGATTTGAACTGCCAACCTTTTGGCTAGCAGTCGAGCTCTTAACCACTGAGCCACCAGGGCTCCAATTAACATTATAGAGGTTAAGATTTACAATACATAGGATAATCACATCAGATCACAAAATGGTGGAAAACCACACAATACTGGGAATCGTGGCCTAGTCAAATTGATGCACATTTTTGGGGGACGTAATTCAATCCATTGCAAACCCTCATAGAGCTTCTGTTCAAAAGGAGGGCAGGATATTCTAACGATGGAGCGGGGCAACTGTGGGTGGACCCTGAAGGCAGGGACTTTGTTATAACCTTTGATTCCCCAGCGTCAGGGCTGTAGAAATAACTCAATAATGCTGGTTTAGTGAATGAATGAATGATCTTCAGTCTTTCTCATACTTTATTTATATTTTTGATTCATTTCACTAGACCTTCAGTTTCACAATGACAATGCCATGTCTAACTTGTTCTCTGTTGTATGCCCAGTTGTTCAATAAACAGTAGTTTAATTCATAAACACATTTAGTTTTTTTTTTTAGCATTCCCTGTATTTTTTATAGCAGCCTGGGTTTCAAGAATATTATGCTGAAAACACTAATGAATCCCTTCAAACAAACATTTAGAGAGGCGTCCTCAGCGCAAGGGTCGGCGTTGGTTCCTCGACAGCCATTTCACCGGCTAGCGTGCCCCATAGGCACCCCAATAAAACACCACCAGGCACAGAGAGCCTGTAAATTTCTCTAACCAGAAGGGCTCTTCCCGCCCCCTCTCCCCGCGCAGCTGGCTCTGCCCTCCGTCGCCTCCTCTCCTCCCACTCTCGCCGCGGTCTCCTGGCGGCAGCCGCTTTGTCTCGTGGGCTGGTTCCCGGCGGACTCCCCTCCTCCGAACAGCTGCCGCCCGAGGGAGAAAGCGGCGCGGGAGCTGTCCAATATCCCGGTGCTGAAACCCCGAGGCTCGTCATTCACCACCACCATGTAAGGGCCATGAACAGGGCTTGTCCTGGCGCAGCGCGGACATGGAGGAAGACTTGTTCCAGCTAAGGCAGCTGCCGTGAGTATCATGGGGGAGCGAGTGAGAGGCAGAGAGGCTTTCTTTTAAAAAATGAAAACCCTCGGGGGAGGGGGGCATCTCTGCGTGGCTACTTGAATTTAAAGGGAACTGTCTCAGAGGAGGGAATTAGGCCTTGAGGAGACAAGCCATTTTCCTACCCCAGCAGCCCCAGCCTCTGTGTCTCTGACTCAGTTCAATTTTTCAGATCCGACAGGACCTTATGGGAAGCCACCGTGTGATGCTTTCCCTGTTAATTGCTCTCTATCCTAAAGGAATCTTGAGGTTTGGGCTGTAAGGAGGTATTAGCTGCTGTTTTGAAACGTGCACTGAATTGATGAGTCCACGCAATGGCATCAGTCCTTTCCAGCTCTTCTCCTATGCTGTGAATTTCCTAATTTTTCTGCAAGGTCTTTTGGGAGGGAATGATACTGATGTTGCAAGCCAGTTTCTAAAAAGCCGGGATTCCTTCCTAGCGGAGAGGCTTGGGCAAAGTCCTGTTGTTTATGAAGTGTGTGTGAATGAGAGGGCTGTGCACCGTGGCTGGAACCTCTTGCCTTCCTCTGAATGAAAGGTTTTTGTAACAGCTAGCTGGAGTGAGACTCGGGTTCAAAGGCTGTCCTCGGGAACATCAGGAACGCACTGCCTAGAAAATGGGGATTTAAAAGGGATACCAAAGTCGTTCTGGAAATCTTGGGGGGATACAACCAAGCAATGGAAAAGACAGGGGCCTTGTAGAGGGGCTCCTTACAGATTTTTCCTACCACCAACAGTTGGTGAATCATTAAATTCCAAGAGTATGCAATGGGGCATTAAAAAGAACATTGCTGGGGATTTTTGTTTTAATTTTTAGAAGCACTAGCCGTTTGGATAGTAAAAGTAGACTCCATTTGGGTTTGTTGGAAAGGATACGTTGTTGCTTAACATGTGTTTATTTTCTTAAAGAAAAAATTTTTCCCCTAATCCACTGAGGAATTCTCTCAAGTGACTTTTAGTGTGACTGATACAGCTGTCTGAGGCTCTGAGTACTGAAGGGGATTGTAATGTTTACTTCTCGGTGTAAAATTAATTTTAATTTTTAAATTTCAATTAATTAAAATTCTGATTTTAAGCTTTTACTAATTGATCTCCAAATAACATATCTTATTATGTAATACACCTTTATTTCATTAATGCTAAAAGATGCTCAGTTATGATATCCAGAGGCTGATGTATGAGCACATAAAATGTAAATGAATGCAAATCTCTCAAGGAAAGCATACCACTTTCAATGAAACATCATTCTCAAAAGTAAACCCATCATCCCCAAATAAAAAAATAATTCAGAAACGGAAATATGAAACTTGGTACTCAGAATAAAAACATAGTACATATGGGTACAGCAGATTTACTGGAATGAATTTTCAAATAATGTCAGAGCATGGGAACTTTGCAAATTATGCAAAGATTCATGTATATTTAATCTACTAATACTTAGACACGGTACTATTATGACAAATTCTTCCTTAATTAAAAAAAGCAAAAATAGGAAAAGGGTTTTACTTATTTAAATTTTAAAATTAATTTAGGTTTTAATCATAAACATAATATATACATATGATAAAGTTCAAATAGAAGCACAAAAATAAAAAGTAAATCTCTTTCCCAACTCCAAGTGCCAGTCCCTGGAGTTAAGTTACTTAATTATTCTTCCTGATATTTTATATACATAAATGCATATATATATAATACCTATTCCCTATTGCCGTTGAGTCAGTTTCAATTCATAGCGACCCTATAGGTCAGAGTAGAACTGCCCTATAGGATTTCCAAGGCTGTAATCTTTATGGAAGCAGAATGCCACATCTTTCTCCTGTGGAGCAGCTGGTGAGTTCGAACCACTGACCTTTCAGTTCGCAGCTGAGTGCTTAACCACTGCACCACCACAGCTCCTTATAATACCTGTTAGGGAGGCCATTTGTGTACTGGTTAAGAGCACTGGCTTTTGAGTCAGACAGACTTGGGTTCAAATATTGACTCTGTCACTTCCCAGCTGTGTGACTTTGAGCAAGTGATTTAACATCTCTGAGACTCAGTTCTCCTAGCCATAAAACAAGATTCTTAATAGTAGTTGATTCATAGAGTTATTGCGAAAATTAAAAGACAATAATGTGTGCTAAAACCCTGGCAGACAAATGACAGATTGGCCCAAAAATATCACTTGTAGGTACTGTGCTGCTCTAAATAATCATCTAAATGAAACCAAACAGTAAACATTTACCCTACAACAAGATGAGAAGGTAAAGGGGCACAGGGAAGCTAGATTAAAGGAAACAGAACAACCAGAATGGAAACAATGAAAATGCTGATATGTTACCGAAAAATTTGTATAGAAATTATTAAATGAGAACCTAATTTCCTGTAAATTTTCACCAAAAATACAATAAAACGTATTTTTTAAAAAGCCTGGCAGACACAAAACACTAAACACGTATTAGTTATTATTATTATTACATCTGAAAAATCATTTATAAAAACACTATGCTGGACTCTGAAATCTGCAAATCCCAAATTAAATTACATTTGAATGAAGTTAAAATTAGCCCTGAAATGCATCGGCCTCAATGTATAAAAAAGAGTAAACCTAAAAAGAACAGTCACATGAATCTGAGTGGGTTACAAATCACGACTTAGATTTTTATACAACACCCTGCATATATTATGCACAATTGCAGGCAGCAGATTTCCTGAGACTAATATGTTTAAAAAAAATTCAGAGTACCTTGCAGAAGGCTGACAAGAATGGACTTTGGAACAGACTCAGTCCCCCGGGAGGCCAACTGTTAATAGATTATAAGCCACTAAGTAGTTTACAGAGTCGGGAGAGGGGAAGGGGATGAAGGCACCTAATGAAAACAGTCCTTCCTTGGACTTGGGGGCACCATCACACAGCTCTGGAATGGTTCATTCAAGGGCACCACAAACAACCCCTGCCTTTCACTTGGTGTCCACTCAGGGACAGTACCACGTATGGAAAATTCTGGAGGCCGAGTTTTACATCCAGTTCTGCCTGATTGTATGACTTCGGGCAAATCAGACTTTTCTGCGTCTCCTTTCTTGGATGATTTCTTGAAAGCAAGGTTTGCGGACTTTATTCATTCATTCAGTGATTTACTTGGACACATCCTAGATGCAAGGGATTCTACAAATGAATACGGTAGATGTGTTCCATGCCCTTGAGGAGCTCACAGTCTAGAGTTGCAAAGTCCAATATGGTAGCCACTAGCCACATGTGGCTATTTAAACTTAAACCTAAAATAGTTAAAATGATATAAAATTTAAAAATCTCTTCTTCGGTTGCATTAACCACATTTCAAGTGCCCAACAGCTACAGGTGGCTAGTTGTTAGCCACACCGGACATTCCAAGTCTAGAACATTTCTCACTGCAGGAAGTTCTCTTGGACAGCAATGGTCTCATGGGAGAGGCAGACGCTGGACCTATAATTGTACAAATAGTTATGACAATCATCTTTAGGGCTATCAAGGAGAAGTGCAGGGTGACATGAGACTAGTTCTAGATGGGGGGAGGGAGAACCAGGGAAGGCTTCCTTGAGGAAGTGATGTTTGAGCCAAGCTCCCAGAGATATGTAGGAGTCATCCAGGAGAAGAGATACATTGAGGACCATTCCGGGCAGAGGGAACCGTGTGGGTAAAAGCCTTGAGGTGGGAAAAAGCTTGGTGTGTCTCATTATCATGCCAACCAACCAACTTGTTGTCGTTGAGTCTATTCAGACTGATGGTGACCCCATATGTTGCAGAATAGAACTATGCCCCATAGAGTTTCCAAGGCTGTAACCTATCAGAAGCCCATTGCCATGCCTTTCTTCCGAGGCACCTCTGGATGAGTTAGAACCACCAACTTTTTGGTTAGTAGTCAAGCACTTAGCTATTTTCACCACTCACAGACTCCTCAAAATCAGGCCAGTAAAGAACAAGTAGCTTATGGTCCAGACCATGCAGGACCTTGTAGTATGTGATAAGAGGTTGGAACTTCATCCTGTGTTTGCTCAATCTACCCTCTCTCTCTCTTTTCCTACAAATCCTATTTTCCAAAATTGAGCTTAAGTTCATCACCTCAATGAATCTTCCCCTGACTTCTCCTGGCCTTAATCAGCAGCAAGGGTAAAAGTGCGGGCTCTCAGATCTGGGTTCGAACCCTGACTCTAGGAGGTCTCAGGCCAGTGACTTCACTTCCCCAAGGCTCAGTGCTCATTTGTACAATGGGGATAATGACAGTGTCCACATGGTCTGGCTCTTGTGAGGATCAGGGAGATAATCCTTGGAAAATTCTCAGCACAATGCCTCGCTCCAGGTACAGACTCAATTAATGATGCTGGTGTTATTTCTCTTCCTCCACTCAAAATCCCTGCTTCCCTTATATCCCAACTTGTTCAGGTAGCAAAGCACCTGGAAGTCACGGTCCCCTTTGCAGAAGACTAAGAAAATGTCTCATTTGGTGAGAAAGCACATGTCCAGACTTCAGCCCCTGATCTTTCCTCTGCCATACTCCTCTCTCAGGCTCACCCACTTCAGTTGATGGCAACTCCATCCATCCCATTGTTCAGGCCAAAAACTGGAGTCAGTTTTGACTCCTCTCTCTCACATTTCTTTCTCTTTCAATCCACCGGGAAATCCTGTTGGTCCTGCCTTTAAGCTACATCCCGACTCCAACCTCTTCTCTCCACCTCTATTGCTACCCCCCTCCCCCCAGGTTCAAGCCACCATCATCTCTAACCTGGGTTGCTTGCAACAGTCCCCTTGATGGTTCGGTCTCCCTGTACCTGCTCTTGCCTCCCTATAGTCCATTCTCAATGCAGCAGCCAGAAGGAGCCTTTAAAAGTCAGATCACTTCCCTCCTGTGCTCAAAACTCTCCCATGGTTTCCATCTTACTTGGAGAAAAGCTAAGTCTTTGCAATGGCCACGAGGCCCCACAGGATCTGGGAACCCGTTCCCTATCTCATC